CTTTTTCAGGTTGTGTTTTCTACAGATTGATTACATTTGTTGGGAGACTTTAGTGTTGTATACAGTATAAGGTTGGGGAAGAAAAGGGGGCAGAGAGGGGAATGGGGTGGTAAAACCTATATTCTTTTACTTAGTGTATGTGCGGGGTTTTGTGTCAGCATCACTTGGGAAGGTTCTCTTTCTAGTCACTTGTTATATTTCCTTGATAGAGAGGTTGAAGGGGGATGGGGCATGTTTCGTGGTTTTAGCTGGCTGCAGTGAGATTTGTTTGCCGGGGGAGGGGCGGGATTGTTGGGTGAAGCTAGCCATATTGATTTGTATGCTGTTGGTGGATTCTTGAACAACGATGAAAAAGTGTTGAAAATAACTTGGGCAGTTACTTTAACCCTCCTGGACTCCCCTAAATGCTATAAAGGGTGAGTCACTGACAGTGTTAGAAGCTGAGATATGAAAGCTAGGAGCTAAATGGCGCCTTAAACCTAGGTTATGGGCGCAAAAATGGGAATGTCTAGGCACACTTTTTTATAACAATACAGAGCTGAAAATGAATGAACTGCAGCTAAAATATGATGTTCATTTTTCACATGGTCTAGTCCTTCCCCTGCCCACCCCTCTAATATTCTTAAGAGGGTCTCTTCTCCAGTTTTCAGAGAGTAGCTGGAAGTGGGGAGGCAGAAAAATGTCCTCCTTTCCTTCCACTCTGCAGTTTTAATCTGAAATCTTAGGCACAGTACTGCACCCAGAGCTCAAAAACTGCTCACACTAATGAAATTCCCTTTCACAAAATGCGCCTAGAATAGCGGGAGTTTCGAACACTGGTTGCTGAATCTGGATTTAAAGCAACTTTGAGAGTTGTTGCGGTTTTGATTCACAGATGGCAGCCTAACATGAAGAAGACAAGCCACGCCAACAGTCTTGGTACAGGCAGACATTTTAGACTTGCACATAACAGTGTTCTTTCCCTCTTCCCACTCAAACTTGAAAGTAGTCAGGAGCTATTGTGCTTTATCCTGTCTGACTGCAATTTTGCAATATATTCCAGTGCCATTTGGCCAGCCCTGAACTATAGCCAAGCATGCTGCTTGCCTGCCCACACTTGGTTGGCAAGGAGCCCGGAAGCTTGAACGTTGCATAACTGGCAACTTCTTAAATGATGAACATTTTTTCATGTTAATTTAGTCTGCTTGCTGCTGAATAGGTAATTGAACTTGTGTTGTCACATATTATAATTCATTATTCCCATCTCTGCTCTAGTGGGGTTTTTAAAAAGGGCTTCACACTTTTTACCAATGTGATTGGCAGAATGTTTTGGTCTTGGATTTTTGCTGTCCCTATGTCATCCATAGAATGCCGCCCCCGGCCTTGGGCTATCTGGATTTCTGCTGGTTTGCTTTCCAATGTTCCCTTACTATGTACTACAACGCCTGTGAATGAAAAATTGGATTCAGTTCAAATGGGCGAAAGCAACATTTGAAAACATTTTATAATTAGACCAGCGGGAATTTTGCTGTGCCCATCAAATGGAATATTTCTGCCCAGCTGAAACGTGAAATCAGTTTACAGTACAAGGTTTTCTGTAGACATCTTGAAGTAATAGTCAGGACATAGGAATCTCCCTTATACTGGGTCAGGTCTTTATAGCTCAGTGTTTTCTGTTTTGTCCACGGCTGTACAGGATTTCAGGGACAGATAGGTAGCCGTGTTGGTCTGCCATGGTCAAAACAAAACAAAAATAAAAATCCTTCCAGTAGCACCTTAAAGACCAACTAAGTTAGTTCTTGGTATGAGCTTTCGTGTGCATGCACACTTCTTCAGATAAGGATTTCAGGGGTCTTTCCCAGGTGTGCCAGGAAATGCCAGGGATTGAACCTGGGACCTTCTGCATGTAAGGCAGGTGTTTAACCCCACTGAGCTATAGCCCTTCTTTTGCAACCGAAACGCATATCTAGAATTACCAGACTGGTAGGAAAGCAAGCATGTTCCCTCTTCCATGTGGCAGCCCTTAAGATACTTGAAGATGGCTATCATATCTCCCCTCAGTCTCCTCTTTTCCAGGCTAAACATACCCAGCTCCTTCAAGCGCTCCTTGTAAGGCTTAGTTTCCAGACCCTTAATCAACTTGTTTGCCCTCTCTGCACAAATTCCAGCGTGTCAACATCCTTCTTAAATTGTGGTGCCTAGAATTGGACATAGTATTCCAGGTGTGGTCTGACCAAGGCAGAATAGAGTGGTACTATTACTTCCCTTGATCTCTGGACACTATACTTCTGCTGATATAGCCTAGAATAGTGTTATCTTTTTTGCTTCTGCATCACACTGTTGATTCAGGTTAAGCTTGTGATCCACCAAGACCCCTAGATCCTTTTCACATGTACTGCTAAGTAAGCCAGGTGTCCCCCACCCTATATTTGTGCGTCTGGTTCTTCCTGCCATGTGAGAAGTCGGTTTCATTTTTAATTCAGATGACCTGTTTACTAGCTAGAAATGCTTACGAAATGCAACTACAATGTGGTGTGTAGTTTAAGAAAATACAAGCCTGGGCCCCAAAGTATCCACCATGCCTTGTGATCTTTGCTTTAGGATTATGTTGCCTGCCGTTGGCAAACACATCAGACAGGTGTTAGCAACTATTTCACGTAGACAGGGGTCACTGCAGTGCAGAAAAAGGCACAGCTATATCTCAAAAAGAAAGTTTTCCCAAGGACCTGAAGGATGGCAGGCTTCTTAACATTTTGCCTAGCACTGGCTCCCCAGTGCTTCACATCGCAGTATCTTAAAATCCATAACTAACAGTGTGGGGCACAGCATGAAGTAAAGCCTTTGGGATGATGTGGGGAACCTTTATGGCCCACTGGGCCCAGATCTTTAACCCATAGCGATAGAGGGAGATGGGAACCAAGTGCATTCAATCCTGCTTTTGTCAGGGTTTTTTACTTGTGGTATCGGATGTGGGGCAGGCGGGCATAGTTTGGGGGAAATGGCCTCGTGAGCCAAATAGGGCGACCTGGTGGGTCAACTTTGTGCTGTGGGGCAGAGATTTCCTACCCCTACTTTCGGTGTGAAGTGACCTTCATCTGAATACGTGGGAGTTCAGACTTAACAGTATCTTTAACGGGAAGAAGCAGGCCTGAATTAGTTCTGTTCCAGGATCCAAGTAGCATTGGGCACAGCCGTCAGCTCATGAAGGAGGCTGTGTATGGGTAAAGCTCTTTAATCAACTCCAGACTTCCAATTCAATATATTTATTAAACATTGCAATACAATAGAGTAAGATATATCAGAAACTGCATAAAAGGAAAATAGTAATTTCCCAGCTAATCCTTCCTCTAATGCAGTCTCTCCATCCCTCCTAATCCCTTTTCCTTTTCTTTTGCATCTTCTAGGAGGTTGTAAGCCTGAGGGCAGAGACTGGCTCATCATTGACATTTGTAAGCCACTCTGGAAGCCTTTTTTCAGCCGAAGAGTGGGATAAAAGTGCATTAAATAAATAAATAGATTAGTTCAATGACTTATAAAAAACATTAGCATCCTTGTTGCATGCAGGCAGATTCACAGGATCTGTTGAAGCCAAATAAACAGTCAAGAGAGTTCCCTCAAGCAATGGAGACAGACGTGCCCAGATCAGCCTATTAAGTATGTTGTGTGCCAGGAGGGGCACAGAGGTGGGTGTCCTGGCACAGGGGCTGATTCCCTCCCAGATGGGTATATGTGCGACCCTTCTCTGTGTGCCCCCTCCATGGGAGGTCTGGAGAGTGACAGCACTAGAACAGGCCTTTTCATTGGTGGCTGGTGGAAGGATCTCCACTTGGAGGCATGTCTGGTAACATCTTTCCTTTTTTTTTTTTTTAGGTGTTAGGCAAAGCCTTTCATTTTTATCCAGTCTTTGGTCCTTAGTTTGAAATGTTCCACATATTTGTTGCCCCCTTGTTACAATCGGTTTGTTTTGGGTCACTTTTGTGAGGAACGTGACTAATAAATATAATAATAGTGCTTTCCATTCATGGGAATGCAGGGAGGGAAAGTGTCTACTGGGAAGGTTCGGGGTGGGTGTGGGTTGAAAACATCCTTGTTTGCAATACCTATGTATGTCACAGGCTTTGCCCTCGTGGAAGATGCCAGGGTGGTGGGGTTTTTTGTGTTTTGTGTGTGTGTGTGTTTTATGCAAACATAACATTCCTAAAGAGACAAGAGGATTGGAACATTCACTTTTGTCACAGTTAAGGGGGGAATGTATGATCACCTTACGTGCAAATCATTCTGGTTTCACATGGAACAATGAGAGTATCTATTTTAAGTTATTCTAATGGTAATAAGTGGTACGTGGAAATAAGATGGCTGCCTGGCACAGGCATATGTTCACCATGTGAAACACCTTCTTTTTTAGACAGATTGACATTTTTAGACCTCAGTGTTGAAAGTTTGAAAGAAGCTTGGAGCAATGCTTCAGTATTTAATAGGCCGTGGTTATATTTTCACCCCTATACATATTTCCCATAGCACTTGTGAAAACCTGCATTGGATATATGTGAGGCAGGGCTATTAATTCTAATGCCTATTGATATTTTTGCTGTTTTACAACAGAAGTGACAGCATGACCAAATGGGATGGCAGTAACCTCTCTAGGGTGTGCAAAAGATGCTAACTTCCTTGGGTCTTAGGGTAATGGAAGTAGCTGCAAATAATGGGTGTGACTAAGAAGCCAAGCCATAATGTGTAGATCCTAGCAGAGGAAAATGTAAAAAACAGTTTGTGATATGGCATGATGTGCTACAGTTCAAAGGGAGAAAAAGTCATCAATCAATTTTCAATCCAATTAAAACACAGATATGGCATAGGAGGTGGGAGTCAGACACTGTCTGTCTCTCACGCAGTGTAGTCAGGATCACCTAAACAGATCTTTAAAACAAAACAAAACAAAATGCAAAACTTCTGTGTTTGGTGACAGAATGCCATTAACCGCATTTTCAGCACTGTTAGCTTTTGCCTTGTTTTCTTCACAGGGAAATCATCGTTGACGATTCAGTTTGTGGAAGGCCAGTTCGTTGATTCATATGATCCTACCATAGAGAACAGTAAGTAACCGAACTATTTCTCTGAACATGCAAGGGGAGCTGATTTGCCTTAATCCATTTCGCCCACACAAGCACTTTTCCTCCAAAGAGCTTGAAGCAGTTTATGCTTCATTGATTTATCATTTAATCTGAAGTTGGATGTTTAACGGAGACAGAACTTCATAAAGTGCTGTGTTCTATAGAGAAGCTAGGGTGTAAACCAGTCAGTCTTTTTAAATTTGTGCACATACTATGGCTTGTGTTTAGAAATCACATATGCAGAGAAGGAATAGAAGCAACACTTCTCTGCAGCCTTTTGGGAAATGAGACCTATGAGCTTGAAATTATGTTGGATCTAAAGTTAATAGAACTGCTAGCCTTTAAGGCTAGTCTTTCTAGTTCAGCTCTGCAGAAATATATGCAGTGCTTTTTTCCTGGATGTACTCAAGGGTACGCAGTACTAGCACCTTGTTGTTGTTGTTTGTTAAAAAGTTTGACATTCACTGTAACAACTTCATGGTGAGTACCAACACCTATTTTTCTAGAAAAAAAGCACTGAATATATGTGTATGAAATAAGTTTCACAGCCTTAATCTAAGACTGGAGGTCATGGAGTATTTCACTCAAACCATGATCTATAAGTCAAGGTTTGTTTTTGACTTGCAAATCATGATTTGTGTTTGGGTGAAACCAACCACAGCCTCTGGTTCAGACGTAATGGTAAGCCATAGATCACATTCTTTTTAATCCATTAAGAATAGTTAACTGTGATGTGCAAATTTGGCCAATGAAACCCAGGTTATTTTTGTTCTACTAAAGAGTAAAATGGCCAGTTTGAACTGAAGTGATAGACTTTTCCTGTGAAGCACTGAACTGCCCTTTTTCTCATTTGTCCAGCATTCACAAAGCTGATTACAGTAAATGGGCAGGAATATCATCTTCAAGTAGTTGACACAGCTGGCCAAGTAAGTGATGTTTGTTTCCGTGATAGTATTTCCAGTGTTGATATCCTAAAATTGGTACGGTGCCTTAAAAGACTTAGGAGAAAAGTCTATGGCCCTTTTAATTATTTTCAAGTAGAAATTAGATCTGGTTACAGATTGTATGAAATCTTCGAAGAAGCAGATCATAAGTATGTTTTCATAACCAACTCAGTTACTCTTGCTTAAAGCACAGAAAGATCATAGTTGCAGTTAATCTAAAATTGTCATATGAATTTTCCATTTATAGAGGGAATTCAGGTGAAGGAGAGAAATATGTGGTTATTGATTTGGGTTTAATCTCAAGTGTGCTGATAAGACAGTAGATTATATCCTTTTTGCACAAAGTATTTCTCACAATCCTTCATGGCATAAGTAGGGTTGCCATACATTCTCTTTTCCCAGGACATGTTCTCCTTTTCAGGGGTAAAATTTCTGTCCTGGCAGATTTTTCAAATTTGCTAAAATGTCTTGCTTCCTCTCTTTCTCCTTCTACATAAAAAGATGCTGTTTCGCTTTATTGCTTTTCCTGGGCTTTTTAGTAAATTATTTTGTGTGCCTTACGACCACTACCACCTCGTGCACGTCTCAAAGAGGGAGAGGCATATGTATATATGTATCACACACACACCCCATTTTGCATGCACAAATTTTGCCACGCCCCTTCCCAGTGCCCTCTGATGTCGCTCCAGCACATGCCCCACCCACAGCATTCTCCAGTGCTCGCCGCTCCTGCACCCCCTCCTCCCTGCCCTAGGCGCCGGCAAATGTATCCTCTCTTTTGCTCTTCAAAATATGCCAACCCTAGACATAAGGCAAGTAGGAGGAAGGAAACTACTAAACCTCAAAAGATGCAAAGCAGGAACTTCTCTTTCCCTGTAGAGAAAACTATTTTGTAGCCTTGAGCATTGGGCTTATTCCTGTGCATAAATAGCCTGCTGTGAGTTTTCAAAATGTAGCATATGTCTTTGTGCATGGGACCTGCTGAGAGTTGAACAAGAACATCTCCTTTTGCTCAAATGTGATGCTATAGCACATTTGCAAAATGCCACTGCTTAAGCGAAGGTACAATAATTTCTTGGTATCTTCCAGTCTGGCAGTATTTGACCTTGAGCAGGATTAGGCTCTTCCCCAACCATCGTCCCAACTCTAGCCTCGGAAACCAAGGGCATCTAGATGTTTCTTTATTTTTAAAGCTACAGAAAAACTCATGGAAGCCATATCAAGTCACATCAAGGGGTAACAGAGCCTCAAATGGCTGCATATTTGGTTTCCAGGCTACCTTCCCTATCCGAAGCAAAATACTTCCCCTGCATTGACTTAAGCCTTCCAAAAGGATAGTTCAGGTGTAGCATATTTATATTTTCAATGTGCAAGGTTCATCGTGGCACCCCATAAAATGAAGTAAAGATGAGCAGGAACATAGAATAATAGAATTGTATAGTTGGAAAGAGCCCCAAGGGTCATCTAGTCCAACCCCCCTGCAGTGCAGGAATCCTGCCCACAGCCACCCCAAACCACCAACCTTCTGGTTAACAGCAAGACGCACTGACCCATTGTGCCACTGGGGGCTCATGTATTAATGGTGAAATGCGCCCAACACTAAATGCGTGAAATGACAAATCCACAACATACTCATCAAAATAATAAAACTACACAAGTTGTTTATTTTATCAATTTCATCATTTTAACGTAATCAAGTTCATGGGAGGAAAATTCCCATTTCCCCTCTTCCCTAGCAGCCCCTCTGGACCTCATCTCACATTGTGCAGGAGGAATTCCTGACCCTCCAGGCAGACACTTGTGGGAACATAGGTGGTTCGAGGAGGGAGAAGTGAATGGGAAACTTTCCCTCTGCGAACATCCTAAAGTCACAGGAAAGATGAGGGAAATTGTGTTTACTTTTGTGTACTTAGAATTGTATTTTAATTAGTAGAATAAAAATCTTTAAACAGAACCTTGTTTTAAATTTGTCTGCTTGCATTGTCATTAAGAAAGTTCCTTCTTCCAAGCAAGTCAAAGTTACCTTAAATTCTGAAGGAGCAATGAGAGATCGATCTAGTGCTCACATCTGTGGAAGCTAAAATGGAATTTGATCAGGGCTTTGTTGATAACCTACTATTTGCAGTACTTCATAGTCGAAAGATCATTTGGCATCTTAAACAGCATTGAGCAACAGTATTGAGCATGTTCTAAGTTATTTAAGTAGATGTCCAATTTCCCAACAGATACAATACTGATAGGTTTAAATGCCAAAATTGTCTGTCTTGACACAGTGTGTCAAAGTTGATGGACAGCTTCCCATAGGACTGTTTTAGTAATTGTAAGTTACCAGTTCTCACATTCAGTGCCGTTCTTGTAAATGCATAGTGAGTGCATGAGTGCATCATGCCCGTGAAATGTCAGCTTCCTGTTTGGTGCCTTCCATTTTCAGCGGTGGCACTGCTCCTGTAGACCTTTGTAGAGGAATTGTAATCCTTCAGCTATGCAAAGAATTCACTAGAGTGCAAGACAGCAGTGAAAGGAAGTCAGTACATGTACGTTCATGCGCAGCATTTTAACAATGCAAGGATTAAATGCGCTTAATCCTAACTCAGTTCTTCAAGCTCGCTAATGAGCTTGTGTGGCAGCAAAACATTAACGGCAGCTTTATCTTCCAACAGGATGAATACTCAATATTTCCTCAGACGTACTCCATAGACATTAATGGATACATTCTTGTTTACTCAGTCACATCAATAAAAGGTAAGACATGCCTCCAATTCCTGCTATCAAGGCAGTTTCTTAATTTTGAGCTGTTTCAGAATTTGGCTGCTTTAGTCTCCCTACTTTGCTTGAAAATGTGGTGCAAACACAACCAAAAAATATTTTGCAGGACATGGATTGAGTGCCATAAAAACATACTGAGTTTTTATTTATTAGCTTTCAAAGCAGTATTGCCTCTCACTGACATTCTGGGAGCCATAAAGTGCAAGCTAAATTGAGAAGTACTATAAAAGGGCAGCATCCATTTGCTCGTCATGAAGCAAAATTGTAAGACCTAGAAGAAAAAACAAAATAGTATTTCAGGCAGTTGTGGTCCTTTCCTCTGCCTTTGTCATCAAGCCAGCTAACAAGTGACACATTCCACTGACGCTCTTTCATAAACAGTGGGTTTTGTGCTCAGAAATATACATTGACTGTTGAATATGTATAAAAATTACTCAAAAATCTATATTGCCATATAATACAGTTTTATTTTACTTACTTTCTTAGACAATTAATTTTGTTCTCAAGTGTGCAACAGTGGTACCTGCCAGTATTGCTTTGCTGCCTTCTCTGCAAACGCACACCAGTATGCTCGGTGTATAGGTTACCCAAAGTTGTGGTAACCAAACTGCAACCCACTCTGACCTACTAATGTGCATGTGTCAAGCCTTCTGGTATCGTAGGAACAGACCCATTGAAATTGATGGGCAAAACTAACTTGGGTCGATAGATTTCAATGGGCGAACCCCGAGTAGAACTTTTGTGTTCATCTCTTGAAATGAATATTGCAAGCCTTAGAACTGAACTTGCACACAACTCAGTGGGTATCAAAAGTGAGGTCTGTGAATTTGTCCCTAGGCTGAATCTTCCACTCATTTGATTTTAGCCCTTCTGCCTTCCTGAAAGAGAAACCTTGGCACCATTTCAAGGCCATTAGTGCTTGATAACCTAAAGCCTATTACTGTGGGTAAAGGATTGCTAATGGGATATAGAGCCTTTCACGTTGAGTTTGCTCACTTACGATGTTGCTTTGTGGCATTACCAACCTTCAGCTGCCTGGTAGCCTATGAAAAATGAGAGTGCAACCTTGATCCATTTGCAGTATGCTCTGAGGACTCAGACAGATCTCCTTATTGGGGCAGTGTATGTGGACACTCTGTACAGAAGAGGCAAGAGTTTATTGGACTGTGTAACCTTGGCTTTTGAAGTCAGTATTGAGGCATTCTTTTGCTTTGGAAATTTCCATTCTTTGAGCTCCGCTTTCTGTGATGGGCTCAATTATCACTTTCTCATATGTGTGTGTTCTTGGCCGCAGGGTGGATAGCAATTCGTTTGCTTTCTTTTAATAGAGAATTTTAAAATAGGCTTCTTGTTAAGCCTGTTTGCAGTCTTAATAAAAATGTTGATGTTTTAATTTAAGTTTCCAAATTAATATTCTGCAAACCTTGTTGGTTCTGTCCTCTCGCACAGACATAAGTGTAGGTGATTCTAACTTCCTTTTGAGAGCAGCAGACTGAAGGAAAATATTGTAGGAGACAACAGCTGTTTGGGGACTCGCCATAATGAATAGGAGGAGCGGTCATGGTGACCACATGCTATGCCAAGCCATGTGGTTTAGTTTTAACCGTAACACTTCACCTCCTCCCTTAGTTCAGCTGGCTAAAGAAGTCCCGAGGTCAGCGGGCTTGGAGTTGCCTGCTGAACAAAGTCCTTGTGGTGTACTTCTCTCCAAACAAACCGCAATGCGAAGCCTGACTTCCCAGTCAGTGGTTTGTCTAGAGGAAAGTAAACCACAAGTGCTGATACAGACACAATGCAAAGCCAGCCACTCTGTCGGTTTTGCTCCCCTGCTCAATTAAAGGAGAAGCGAAGTGAGATTCTGTTGCACAAGCATCACGCATGTTTTGCTTTAAAATGAGCCCAGAGCTTGCTTTAGTGTCACTGTGTGCCCTCTGTGAACTTCATACCCATTATGGCGAGCCTCCAAGGGCATGGTCATATGTCTCAGCATTGTTGTGATCTCTTGCCCTTTAAGAATATTTTATTCATCGGTCTGCTGTTCTACACCTTAAGCTATCAGACATAAATTGGACTTGTGTTCTGCTCCCACATGATAGGGCCATAAGCCACACACGAGGGAAGAGCGCTTGGGTCTTGAGCTGCTCCCTAACTTGCACATTACCCAGTTGCCAGCGCATCACTATGCACTGCATTCCAGGAGCCTCAAGTAGATTGGGAAGGCACTGTGTTGTATCCGTATTCTGTACAGGATATTTGCTAACCTTCACTTCCAGCTGTGGCCCCACTGTGCTATATTGAAAGTTGTTCCAGAGAACAACCTCCCACCCCACCCCCCAAAAAAGCCACACACACACACACACACACACACAGTTGGACATTTGTTTAACACCACAACAACATGCAAGAGATTATATAGGGCTAGCACATTACGAGCCATTATTATATTATTTCTGCAGTGTTCTTGTTGATTTTATGTTTCTCTTAATAAATAAACTCTTTGTTATGGGGTTCCCTGCTGCACCAACGCTGTGAGAAGTGTCTTCCAGGTCTCCAACCTTTAGGTAGTACTGCCCCCACCTTGTTTTTAAGTTTCCAAGTCAGCAGGCAAGCTCACAGCCTTTAAGCGCTTATCTTGGGATTTAGGAAACCACCCACATCCTCTCTTCATATTCCCTGCTTCCACAAGCCTGTTGCCAGAGTGCCAGGCTCATGGGAGATAAAGCAGTGAAGTAAAGCGACTAGCCAATCCTCCCGTTTTCCAATAACAGAGTTCATTTAAGAAAAAAAAAAATAGCGATTAGGAAGAATGCATATTAAATTAAAACAAACTTAGGATCTAGCTAGCCTTACACTTTGAGCATGCTAGGAAGTTCCGCTTGCATGCCTGGAATATGCATGACTCTTTGAGATGTTTCAATGACGCCAAAGAAAATTAAAAGAAACACCTGGGTGGCAGAAGGTTGGATAGGGAAAGGCCAACCAATGAGGAAGAGAACCGGGACACCAGGAAGCAGGTCAAATAGACAGGAAACTTTTGCAGATGGATGCTTGGGACAATTATCACTTTGTTCAAACAGGGAAGAAGTTAAATTGGAAGGATCTCCTCTTGGGTTCCTGTCAGACAGATTTAAACTAAAGAGAAGTGCTGCTTTGAGAGAATCCGCTCAGTCTCTCACAATTTTAGTGAACAAGTTGTCCAAATGTGGCTGACGTAATTTGTATAGGAATCAATACAGATTCTTCAGTATGTGTGTTTATGTGCACGAAAGAGACCAAGAACATGAATAATTCCTGTCTCCAAGGAAAAGATTTTTTCAGAATCCTTAAAGAAAAACCCATGTAGCTGTTCCGTTAAAATACAAGGTTCATTAAATAAAGGAGATTAATTACTCACATCTTGATCTGACAGTTTTTCCACTATCATTTCTTCCAATTCCTCTTTAATCAGCCATCTGCTGCCAATCAGGTTTCTGTTTAAAATATCACATATATTCTCTTTTTAACTAATCATGCAATTAGACTAAGATTGCAAAGGGCACACATACAGTCACACTTCATTTGGAAATATACTTGTCTTTTACTTTGAGAAAGTGCAAGTTACATTTACAAACTTTCTATTCCAAAAGCAAAGAGCAGTAGCTCCAGTGTCATAATTTTACTTTATTAACAAGTAAGATTTCTAAAGTGGTTGAGAGTTAAAAGTCCGGGCATCGGTTTAGTTTAAAGGCAACTTTCAGCAGCATTCTAATGCGTATGTAAATCAGCTGTACCAGAATGAAATTTAATACACAAGATTTCAAAAAACACAACACAAAAGACCGCAAACATAGCAAGAAATAGTATTTTGTCTTCCCTATAACTCTTCCCTTCTATCTAGAGGTAATTTCAGGGTGTGAAGCACTGAAGTAGAAAGGGAATACAAAGTCTTCTGGGATTTCAACACCTTATCTAGATCAGCTCTGGTGCAAGACAGACTGACCAGTTGCTGGCCAATTGCAGAACACTCAGTCCCTGAAGGGATGACGTGCATCAAAAAGAGCTGTGGTAAAACACAGTAGGGGTGGCATAGGATTGGATTAGCCACAATTTGAAAACAAAAATAACTATCTTACTGTCTTGCCATGTGCTGCAGGCAAAAGAGAAACCAGGCATTCTCTGGCGTTGTTTGTTTCATACATCTTGTATATCACCACACGGTGGACAGCGGAAAGATGAGCGCCCCCTGGGCTTGGTGCCGTTCATTTATCAGCTTGTTCCTCTGCCCTTTAGGCTGTTTACTTTCCTTCTGTTCTTCTCATGCTTACTTTTCCTGAACGGCTTTATCTTTTTTATCCCTCATTCTACCTCTTCGCTTCATTTTTCAAGAAGAATTCTGTCTCTTCATGCTAACCTTTCCCTCCAGTTGAAACCTATTGAAACCTTACCTTTCACCAAGGCTATACACACCATACATTTAAAACACCCACTCAAAGGAAAACGATCACAAAATGGTTGGGAGCTGCAGTTTAACCTGCAGAGAGCTATAGTTTCTAGCACCCTTAACAAGCTACAGCTTTCAGAATTCTTGGGGTGGGTTTGCTTTAAATGCATGATGTGTATGTAGCCCAAGCCTAGTCCTAACAAGGGGTGTTGCTCTTGTTTTTTGGAAGTCTTTTAACCTTCTTGTCAGGGATTTCAACAGCTACTGTTTTTCCAGTGCTCGGCTTCAACTTCCTCCTCCGATTTCATTTTCTTTTGGCCTTCCTAATCCACACCTTGGATAAGTCTTCCTTACACCACCACTCCAAGTAATGGCTCATCCTTTGGTACCAGCTGGTTCTCCTCAGCAAACAGATTAGTTTCCTGAAGGTGTCCCAGTGCCAATTCATTCTGACATATCTTGGCTCTGCACACAATCATTTGGATGATGATCAATCCAAGGCAAAGAGGGAAGGCATACAGAGGAGTCTGTCCTCCATGAGGAAATCATTTCTAAATGTGAAAGCAAAGCAAAGACTGTGGAGAATCTCTTTTGGGGCTGTTACATTCACTACAGGGATACTAGCAAAAGTGACATGTGCAGTTTTAACTCTTAATCAAGGATGTGAAGTGCAAGTCTCACTGTGTTTGCTCTTCATTCCTGCTCTAAGTTCTGCTCTTTTTCCAAGCCAGGCAATTATTATACTCTTTTCCCACAGACTCTTATCACTCACTGTCTGAGCGATCTCTGCTTTAACTTTGACTCATTCCTAAAATCTTTCACTTCATCCGTCTCCCTCATAGACCACTGAAAAGCTTACATTAGAAACACAATAAAGCCAGAGTATGACAAACCTAGACAGCATCTTAAAAAGCAGAGACATCATCTTGCCAACAAAGGTCCGTATAGTTAAAGCTATGGTTTTCCCAGTAGTGATGTATGGAAGTGAGAGCTGGACCATAGAAGGCTGATCGCCGAAGAATTGATGCTTTTGAATTATGGTGCTGGAGGAGACTCTTGAGAATCCCATGGACTGCAAGAAATCAAACCTATCCATTCTGAAGGAAATCAGCCCTGAGTGCTCACTGGAAAGACAGATCGTGAAGCTGAGGATCCAACACTTTGGCCACCTCATGAGAAGAGAAGACTCCCTGGAACAGACCCTGATGTTGGGAAAGATGGAGGGCACAAGGAGAAGGGACAACAGAGGACGAGATGGTTGGATAGTGTTCTCGAAGCTACCAGCATGAGTTTGACCAAACTGTGGGAGGCAGTGGAAGACAGAAGTGCCTGGCGTGCTCTGGTCCATGGGGTCATGAAGAGTCGGACACGACTAAACGCCTAAACAACAACAACCTATCAACTCTCGACTCCTCAATAGTCTCCTTTGCTTACCTCCCAATTCTCACCTATTTCAGACCATTTTGCATTGACACCATCTCCTCCCACCACTGGTCCTGCTAGCTAGGAATGATGGAAGTTGTAGTCCAAGAACATCTGGGGACCCAAGTTGAGAAAGGCTGGCCTAGGCTAATAATACCGCATAGCATGATATATCTTGAAAATCCTGTATGAGAACTGCATCTGCATCCCTCATCCCCAACATACTTTCATTGTGATCACAAAGAGACAACTTACAACTGGGATTTCTTCTCATGCAGTAATAATCCTTGAGCACGCATTCGTTCTTGGTGTTCCTCAATACGAAGTAGCTTACCATACAATTCCTAGAATAGATACAAGGGTGAGCTCCACTTAAAACCTTCTGCTGAAAATTTTGGCATCAAATATCAGTTAGAAGTTCAGCATTAATGTCTCGCAATTAATGTAACTAATCTGTAGAAAGGACTCTTGTTACCTGAAAATGGAGACAATGTACATGCTTTTGTAACCCAAGAAAAATCCTTAATAAAAACAATAATTTTATTGTCTGTGTGTGTTAGAAGTTCAACCACAAGAATACAGTACCGTAACTCCCATATCCGCCCCCCCAAACTGTGGTACAAAGGGGCATAGCACATACCTTAACTAATTTCAGTTATGATAAACCATTGTGACCAGTGGTTTGTCTGTAGTAATAACAATGTAATTCTTCAAACAATCCAGGCTCTTTAGCTGTAGAATCACCCCATTTAAGCCAGAACACAAAAGAATAAGGACATTTATCCGATTACAAGGACATTTATCTGATTACAACTTCCTAAAAAGAGGTTCTGATTGAGCACTCGACAATGGTGTATTTGTCTCTAAACAAACCATAAGTGATAAGCTGATAACAAACCTTGCCTTCCAATTGTGGTTTGTTTGGAGAGAAACAAACCACAAGTCCAAGTTGCACATAATGGTAAATCAGCTGTTGGTTTGCTTCCTCCTGGCACAGCAATAGCAAGAGCAGGGGAGTAGCACACTATAAAGCAGCATGCTGCTCGATCATATAAAACCATAGTTTACTGATTTATTTTTAATTATGGTTTAAATTTTAATGTTATGTGTAAAGCAGGCCTGAGTTTGTGAAAACCCAATCAAGAAAGGTTATGTCAACAGGGGCAGGCCTGTCTCACTAAATTTATTGGCTCATAAGAAAATTATTCAGCATTTGGACTCAGCTATACAGCTGCCAATAAAACGTTTTAAGTGTGTTTTACGTAAATACAATGTGACACTAGAGGGCGATGGAAAGCCTTATGAAAAATTCATTGTATTTTTAAAAACACTTTTAAAAAAAGCATTTTCACAATTTTTTTAATGTGTGTAGATTTCACCTTTTCATCAGGTTCCAGGAACTGATATAATTTCTATTACATTCTTCTCTACGTACCAGCAACCCAGGCAATTCAGGACCTTTGGAAGAGGGTGGGATAAGAGATGGTCTTGCCCATGTAAGAATTACAACACTGCTGACTACCCTTTTAAAATGGAAGCTTGTCGCATGAAGCTAGCCAAACCATAAAAATTACAGTGCACACTGGCACATTCATCTCTATTCTTCTCTATAACAATCTGATAGCAGGCTCTGAAAACTTCCTTCAAGCCTATGGGGGAAGATTACAGGTTGCTATGTCCCATTATCCTTGTGAGGTCCTTCACTCTTGAGATTGGTAATGATGCTCTACATGGATGGAAGAAGAGGAAGATGTTGCTTCACTTATTGTGTTAGCTGGAATTATAGTTCGTTCATAAAGCTACATGCCCACTTTTACTCCATTATGATTCTAACCACATGGTGAATTGCTCGTTTCCCATTTGTAGCCATGCAGTGAACAAACGGTTACCTACACTTGGGATCTGTCTTGTAGTTTCGCAGACTGAAACCTTTAGACATTTGCACACCAATATGTTTTGGGAGCCCTTACCAAATAACCCCTCTAGTTTCAGAGTCTTCAGCTTACTATGCCTGGACATTTTCAAGTTTCTCTGTGAATTCAAGGACGGCAAACTTTTAAAAAGAGTCAAGCTGTGCACCAGACTCACAGCCAATGGTGCATGCAATGCAAACACAACCTTGATAACCATGCTGTCTTCCTGAACACTGGCAAAAAAATCCCTTCTCCCGGCCCTGTTATAATGCTGTTTGAATGTGGCTAGGTCATAAAAGCCCACAAGATACTGTATAGCTCCTCAAAGGATGGCCATTTTCAGTTCACCTTTGGCTAAATGTATTTCACCACCCCTCATTATTTTTCTCAAATACAGTCTACATGGGGGGGGGGGAGATAACCTAAAGAGTTTTTATCTACTGACAAGGGTACATTGTGACATGGGAAGTTTTACTTGCTCATTTCAGATCCCATTTCCTTCATTCCTCAAAACACTCTGGCTTTCTTAAATTTTATTGATGTGCATAGCTATAAAGGAAGGCATGTGCAAAATTATTTGCAGGATAACAAATCAATGGACAGGATAATGATGCATGCTATCTTGCAACGGTATAAGAATCTGGGAGGCATGTCACTCGGCAAACGTTCACATCTGAAACATTTCAGAAAGGAATTCTTGCTTCTTCAGAACGATAGGTGAAGATTTAACTAACAGTTTCCAGAGGCAACAGCAAAGTCATAAATATACATGCCTATATCCCTTACAAATGTGGCCATTATGCAGTAGATTTTAAGATACTTGTGAGCCATATATATATTGTCATAAAAAAGGAGGACCGCATCCATCTTGTCAATTAACAAGACAGACAGTTTTAAACAAAGCTGTTGCTGAATAGTAAGTTAAGAGCAAGCACCAGGCTACTGGATCTTTGAACAATATCTTAAACAAACACAGTAGGTTATCACATCATCAATACATTTAGACTTAGTTCTCTTGCCCCGGGCTCAGAAGCACTGGAGAGAGGAAATAGGTGGAGTTCATACGCAACCAATATCTTAAAATGCCAGACACAGATTCTGTAAGTTGCCGTTAGTTGGAAAACATCCTTCTGGTCTGTTTTTGTATTCTGTTTCTTAATTTGTTACATATAGCTGCACATGGGTTTCCAATGCCATTTTAAACAAGCCAATGATGCAACCTTGTAAAAGATGAATGATATTCTGAAGACTTCTAGTACAGCGGTTCCCAATTGGTGGTTCGCACAAATTTAAGAATTTAAGGGGTTAAGACATTTCAGGACGCAGTTGAATTTGCAACTAAGGAAACCTTTTACGTCCCAAGCCAAACTCTTTTCAACAAACAGAGACACAAAGATGAAAATGGGAATAGAAATGCTAAAGTAGTAATAAGCTTTAACATGTAAGCAGCATATGAAATGGAATATACAAGATGGATGGTGGTCAATGTAAATGCTACAAGGAAGCCTATTCATATTGCATCCAGTAACCTATATAAATGGCAGGGTGGTTGGCTCAATTGAAATAAATAACTGAAATATGACAGTAAAGCAAATGGTAATAGACACATGTAGGCAAAATGTATTTTATAAAAATTTTAAATATTGCAAATTATAAAAGGCTATGAGCACAAGATGCAGTAAAAAAGTGAAATTATTCTACATTTACTTTTTAAAGTGACAGTTTGGCACTTAACAAGTATCTCTCTAATTTCCATTAGCCTATGATTCTCATCTTTAGCACCCTTACACATATTTCACATTTCCTGAGCAGAAGATGGGATGAATCCTGTTTAATGAAATGATTTATATCACTCTTTTTAATGAAGACATCTCTAAACGCCCTGACACGACTTAAGTAAATTTACAAATATTCTACAATGATTGCATTTCTGTTTGTCAAAAGGATTTCGTGTGCAGGAAGATTTTAATCAAGTGGTGAGCACAGCTATTCTTTGAAAAGGCCGTGTGTCTCAGGAAAACCTCACATGCCGCTTTCAAAAGGCAAGCAATGGGTAAAAAAATAAAATAAAAGTTGGGCGCCTTGTAATATTTTTTTTTAATTTCTTCATTATGATGGAATGCAACAAAACATCTTGCCCTTGGCTTGCTCTGTTTCAGCCAAAACAAATGCAAATGGCCTGTCAGATGACAGCTGCTTGATAAGGCTCCTCGACAAGACCTGCATGCTTTACTTTTTTCCGTGAAACTTGGGATGAAAGGCAGAAGGCAGGAAGAGAATTAATGTAGCATACAGTCTAAAGGCAATGCTACAACCGTGATTAAGTAGAAAAGCTAAAAGGCACAGATTTTCCACAGCCTCTCTGCGTGCAACCCATCCGTGTAACAAGTTGACAGGCCTAGCGCGTCAGCTCCATCATCCTCTCCGACAGCTAAAACGCAGCGCTGCATCCCTTTTCAGAGAAAATTTGCGTCTGCACCATGAAGCGTTGTACATTATTTCTTAGCACTGCAGGGGGCTCAAGTCCATATGGAACCTTCACAAATATTACCACAGATCAAACCAGCAGCGTTTCGAGGCAGATTTGACATACCTATTTAAATGAACAGTAGGGTCCTCAGGCTGCCTCAGGCTGTGCAGGAGAAAACCTCTCTGGAAAGCCTACGCTGCAGCTCCATTACTCAGCAAAGACACACTCTACATTTATCATTCATTTCATTTCTGCCAGGGCAAGAAGCTCATTTGCCCAAGGTCAACCAAAAGAAAAAATAATTCCTCTCTTCTCCCTCTACAGAAATAAATGTACCTGACAAGTGGGGATTTTGTCCTTTGGGTGTGTGGAGTACAAACACACACCAGATAATTCTAAAATGCACAGTAAAGCCACGGTGTTTTTTTTTTTGTTTTTACAGAGGAAGTCTTCTAAATGGTACTGCAACCAGAAGTAGATACCAAGGGAAACAAGAGTTCAATGGCATCACCAGGCTGAAAAGTTATCAATCAGATTACAAAAATATATATATATTTCTATAACTGAACTTCAGTACACAATTCATTCTACAGTGGATGCATGGGTTGCGAATGTGATCCGTGTGGGAGGCACGTTCGAACCCGCAGTGTTCACAACCTGCAGCGCCGTGTCTGCGCACGCGCGGGTTGCAATTTAGTGCTTCTGCACATGTGCATAGTGCGATTTAGCGCTTCTGCATATGCGCGATCGCCGAAACCCCGAAGTAACCCATTCCGGCACTTCCGGGTTTGGCGCGGTGCACAACCCGAAAGGCACAACCTGAAGCGTCTGTAACCCAAGGTATGACTGTACTAGATTCTTCCACAAAGTCAGCGAATCAAGTTCTACAAATAGACAACATGCATCAAATACTATCAATATGTTCCTTCTGTAGGAAATAGGTTCAGAGATTCTTTAGTGATGCCCTTCGGATATTCTTGGACTCCAAGTCCCATCAGCTACAACTTGCATGGTCAATGGTCAGGAATGATAGGAAATGTAGTCCTGCCATATCTGAAGGGCACTATATTAGCTACCCACACTTTAGTGCATTGTTATGTGGGAGTCACTAGAAATCACAGTATGGGCTCATCTAAGAATTGCCATGCTGGACTGACCAAAATTCCATCTAATCCAGAAATTCAGCTGTGGCAAGCTAGACAGACATAGTGTTTCTTAACATGGATGTCTGATGCCTAGCGATTACAGTTAATAGGCATGGAGAGATGTTTCCTTCTGTACCTTACTGGGTAGTGTTGGACAATACTTGAACAGACTTTTAATCTACCTACTAATTTTTACAACTGCTGGTAAATTTCACAAAAAAGCCTTTCTGTTAATCCCATGCCCACACTTCAGAGGTGTCATTTTCTTTTGGGCCTGGGGAAGGAACTTGTCTGTAAGTTCAGAAATGCCTGTTCTTAAAAGAAAAAGAAAAAATAGGCAGCTGCAGACTTTCTTCACCATACTGATGCAGGACAATTGCATAAAATCTAAGCTAGATTTTTTACAGTTTAGCAAACAAAACAAGTCAGACGGGAAATCAGCTCACTTGTTTAGTGACCACCTAATGTGTGAAGTGAGATGTGCAAAGGCAGCAGAAAAAAGGAAAGAAAGGACAAGCTAAGGACTAACACAACAACCACAATGATCAGGCATGAGGCTTAGGATTTCTACCACTACCAATGTTCACGTCCTAACACAATGCAGGAGTGGGCAACAGCATGTGGGTAGCTCCCACATTCTCTACCCAGATTTGTACCAGCACCGAGTCACTGTCAAAGTGGATTTAGATAACCGAGAGCCACAGAGTGCCCATGCTCTATGGAGAGGCTGTTCTTTGTAGCCTCCGAGTAAAAAAGCGTAAAAGTGGTTGAGGCTAGTGCTTTACTCATGGCCCCGATTTTAAACAAAGCAATGTGAACTCCAGTGGAACGCACACCAATTCTCATGTTTGAAAGGATAGGATAGCTGCCAGTCAAAACACAGCACTGGCCTCTTGCAAATTTCCTGTGTGCTCAAATGTTAAGCTATTACAAGGAAATGTAAGTTAAAGCTTTAAACCTGCTTCACACATTATCTAATATGGCCGTCAATAAGAAACATCTAGCTGCCTTCTGCAACTTTCCTTTCCTTCAAGAATACTGTACATTTTAAAAAGGATTACCATACGAATTTGCCTCTGGTCATCTTTGGTTAGTATTTTACTTATCACAGTCTGAAATTCTTTCATAGCAAGACTGGTTTAGTAACTATGGGGGAAACCAAAGCTAATAGTCATTCCTTCCTTTGGTAACGAGTTTGCCCTAAGAAAATTACGACAAACATACACATTATGTAATAAGTGACCATTATTTTGGTCCACCAGGAAAAAGCCATTAGATAACTTACATGCATTACAGAATAATAGGACTGCTTGCCAGTGTAAAAGAGAAAGTGAAATGGGCGGCCATCTTTGTCCCACTGGATTGCTGAAGGAAAAGAAACAAGGAAGCAAATGTAATGGTAATTACAGAAGTCTAAAACACAAACTATAGTTTAAACAGGAATAATAAAACCCCATGCAGCGGCCAGAACTCCCTCCCACCCTGTTCAGAGAATGCCAGGATATTCTCTGCTGTTAATTTTTTTATAAAAAGACAACTAATAATTTATCCCACTGCTTAACCATGCTAAGGTTATGATCCTGTCTAATATGTGACAGTTCTTCACTCTAAGCTTATTACCTCTCAGCCTGGTCTTACTGGTCACAGAAACTAAGCATTTATAGAAACATTTAGCATATTAAAAAGGCACATACTACCTCAGCCTTATCTATTTGCAGCTAAATATGCTTATTTCTATAATACAGCCCAATACTAGCTCTCACTGATCTAAATAGAACTTGCTTCCAAGTGTTCATGCTCTGTATTGCAGCCTCAAGTTGGCATCAGGCACATTTACATAGGGAATTATAGAAAAGCAAACATAGAAGAGAAACTAACAAGAATGAACTGGTATGAAAAGTGCAGCTCCAGATTAGATAAAGATATACCATCAATATAGAGCTGCAATTACAGAAACAGGCTGTGGTCAGCTCTTTTAAAAACATATACCTCAATCTAAAAAGTCAAGATATTTTAGGACCAAGATTTGTGAACCTTAAGGATAAGATATAAACACTGTGATTAGTGACTGCAGAAAGCTTTAACCACCATCTGCAAGGTAAAAAGTTGTGGGATTCCACTGTCCCAATATTACATTTTCGTTGCGATCGCCAATAAATTTCATGATCTCTTTGGTCAACTGAGAAATGATCATAGGAAGATTAAAAGAAGAGCAAAATAACAAATAAAGGAATCACACAAATATGGCCTGCGATCCAAAGGGCCTGGCAAATTATTCTGCATACCCAAAGAGGATTGAACTTGTTTGATTATTTTTACTATATCCTCAACCTCTAATGACACACAGCAAGCCACTTCTGAAACAGGTATTCTGAAGCAGTCTGTGATGTGTCAAGGGTATCTTTGCTTCCTAGTGAGGAAGGGACCCCTGACCATTAGGCCCAGTTGTGGCCGACTCTGGGGTTGCGGCGCTCATCTCGCTTTATTGGCCAAGGGAGCCAGCGTAAAGCTTCTGGGTCATGTGGCCAGCATGACTAAGCCGCTTCTGGCGAACCAGAGCAGCA